CCCGACCTAGTTGAGTGCCGCCACACGGAAGGGTTTAGGGACAATGATCGGCATGTGCTGGAGGCCGCTTAACCACGAAGCATCTAAAGAGTAGAATCAAGCCTTGGATCTTCGGGCGGGTGTAACCCTCAGGCCAAGGACTCGTCGGCAGTCAGACCGAGACCTCGGTGGAAACATCCACGAAGTTTAAGAAGATTGCGGGACAACAATGAACTGTCTAGTTCCAATAAACAACATGCTTGAATACTACCTTAAATGAGTCAAGGATGGGGGATGACGAGTACAATGCACAATAAACGTTGGTGGTGCGTTGGGAGAGCGGAGGGCTCCCTCGAATTCCACCAACCCGCTGGCACCTTTCACGGACACTATTGTTCCACGATTCTTCTTTCGAATGACAAAAAGGATCCTAGACGATTCGAAGGGGTTGATTGTGAAATGGGCAGAAAAAGCACTCTGGGAATCTCGGAGCCGGGGTGATGGGTGTAGACCGGATATGACAAGTGGGGTGAAGGACCGCGGACTTGAGGCCCGGTAGGGCTACTGCCTCCGAGAACCCATGGCCGGCAGGGCAGCTTAAGCACGCACCACATCCTCTTCCAGTGTAACACCCAATCTATTCCACCAAAGACGTCTCATCAAGTGATCAAGCCTAAGGGGGGTTCCCAAGCACGCTATCGGCCGGTACGGCAAAAGATGTGGTCTTGGGAGCGGGCGGAGCGGATGGGCGGACAGGCGGGCAGTTGCTGAAGAGTTGGTGAACAGGGCCTCCTAGGGATATGAGAAGCTAATATAATGGGACACCGCTGCGTTCCCGCTCTCTCTCGAAGGGGAGGGATCTCCTTCGTTGCTGTTGCTCTCGTGGCCCTCTGTCGTTCCCTTACACCAGTAAGACCACACTGCAGCTGTGGCTCTCTCTTCACTCATTACCTGGGATTCCGTCAACAACAACAGCAACTACCATGTTGTTTCTCTCCCTGTTCTTCTCCTTGTTCTTCCTGCCCTCCGCCGTCTTCGCGGCCTGGGGCTGGACTGACAACGGCAGCGAATATGTGATCGACTCCGGCTCCGACCTGGTTATCAAGGTCACCAAGTGCTGCGGTGACCTCTCCTCGCTCAACTACAAGGGTGTCGAGTACAACGGCTGGGGCGGCAAGAACTCTCACGTCGAGTCTGGTTTGGGTACCAGCACGGTCAGCATTACCAGTTACTCCAACGTGATTAAGGTCTCCGTCGTCCACGGTACTCTGAAGCATTGGATCTTTGTCCGCTACGGCAACAACAATGTCTACCTCTTCACCAACAAGGCGGACGACTCTGTGTCTGCCATGCGTTACATCGTTAGAATCAAGGTCTGTGGTGGGTCGAGAATGTTCGTCGGGGGTCTGAAGTTAACGGGAATGACAGGGCGGAATCTTCAGCCATGCCTCGACCGAGAGCGACTTCTACGATGCCGATAGCACCATCATCGAAGCCCAAGACAGTAAGTAGTTTCTAAACATGGAGATGGTCAGGTTGTGCTAACTTTTAAAAGTCAATGTGAACAGCGCGGGTCTGACCAAGAGCAAGCACTACCAAGGCTCCAACTATGGCCGAACCATCGACTGTAAGATTTGTTTCGAGATTTTTTTGGGACATGCTGACTGTTTGAAGACGATTACGTTGGCCGCACGAAGAGCGATGTCGGTTTGTTCATGATCCGAGTAAGTGTTGCGGTGCAGATTTGCCTCCATGTGTCACCGCTAACATCTCAAACCTAGAGCAACCACGAGAAGGCCTCCGGCGGTCCTTTCTTCCGATCCCTCGTTCGCCGTGCCGATCCCACTGGAGAGGACTTGTACGACATCTACTACTATAACATGGGTCACACCGACCCCATGCGCACTGGTCTTCAGGGACCTTCCGTTATTTCTTTCACCAACGGCGAGGCCCCCAATAGCAATCTCTTCGCTCGCAAGGCCGACTGGTCCTGGTTCGATGACCTTGGTGTGAGTACAAAATCAGGTCTGATCCATGATCAATAGCTGATGTTTGCTTAGCTGGATGGTTGGGTCCCGGCTTCCGGCCGTGGTTATGCCAGTGGTGTTGGCCTGGCCAACATGAAGAGCGGCAAGACGTACGTCGTTGGCCTTAGCAACTCCAACGCTCAATACTGGGGCACAGCCGGTTCTGGTGGCGCCTGGTCTATCACAAAGGTCATTCCGGGCACCTACACCTTGACAGTTTACAAGGACGAGCTCGAGGTCGCCACTTCGTCTGTGACCATTACTGCTGGCAAGGGTACCGCCGTGAACACAATCACTTGTGTTGACCCTGAAGATGATGCTACTATCTGGCGTATCGGCGAGTGGGACGGTAAGTTTTGGAACTAGAAAGTGTGGGTTCCGGTCTGACTATCTACAAAAGGAACCCCTAAGGGCTTCCTTAACTTTGAGGACACCCCGGTGAAGCTTACGTATATGCATCCCTCCGACACCCGCATCTCAACTTGGAACGCCGGAAACTTCATTGGTAAGTCTTCTGGATCTATTAGTCACTCTTGGGTATCGGAATCTAATTCTGCGAAGTGGGCACACACTCGGCCAACCGCTTCCCGGGTTACATGTGGAAGGAGGTCAACAGCGGCTACATCATCTACTTCAAGCTCACTACCGCGCAACTTGCAGCTGGTCACACTGTTCGTATTGGTATCACGGAAGGCTACATTGGCGGTCGGCCCTCCATCAATGTCAACTCTTGGGCCTCTGCCCTCCCTGCCGCCACAAACCAGGCCAGCACCCGATCTCTCACGTAAGTTCTCAGGATTCTACATGCCTCGCTCAGAACTTTTGAAACTAACAAAAATGCAAGTGTCGGAACATGGCGCGGCAACAATGTGAAATTGACTTACGCTGTGCCACAAACCGCTTGGATCCAGAGCACAAGCGAGTGGCAGGTTCTCACTATCAACGTGTATGTCCACCCGTACTCCGACTAATATTTTGTGGATCAGACTAACTCTTCATGACAGTATTTCCGGCAGCTCTGGCACAAAGTTTCTCAGCCCTGGTGTCTCATTCGACGTGGTTGAGTTGCTTGCCTAAACCAGGCAATGTCCACAGATACTCAGGAACTAAACGATCACCCACTCGTTTCGCGGTTGTTTTCACTGTCAAATTACTCCTATATTTTCTTGTCACATACATTTCTTCAAAGCTGTACATACTTCAGTGAATATATCATTCGGGGCCTTGAGCCTGCGTATATACCAATCACATGCTCCTTGGAGACGCAAGTTTCTACATGTCTATGTGCTCTGTCGGGTCGAAAACTTTCAGTTCATATTGCAACAAGTTTAAATCCTATAAAATTTCAACGATCAATGTCTATTTCTCACTTTAAAATCAGATGTTTTTCCCAAACAATTTTATTTCATGTGAAGTTCCACAAGGTAATCCGCCGTTGCGCCATGAGCGTCCTCTCCGTTTGTCGTTCCCGCGTCCTCTGAATGATGTTGTAGCATGTGCTACATGGGAAAACCAAGATTCTGTCTCCGTTTCTGCTCCCGGTCCGTCGCTTCATCGCAGTGGTGGATAGTAACTTGACTCATCATGAATCAAATGTTACAAAAGCGCTGCCAGATCTCGCACATTGTTTTGGTCTTTGTAGGGTAGACTGCAAGCGGTATGATCGTCCCAGCACCAATAAAGCCGAAGCCGATGTACCTAGGTTCGACGATGGTAACACTGATGTCATTCGAGATGGGTGATTCGTTGAGTCAAAGATGTGTTGTCGTCACCAGTCTTTTTTAAAAAAGGATTAAAAAAATTCTTGTAGTAGCTATGTGATATGAGTTAGCCAAGGCTCCGAACCATAGATCTGTGGTCTTTCCGGAAGACGAACCGGTCAAACCTCTATAAATATGAGCTTTTCTTCTACATTCCCCTTCCACTCATACATCACATGTGCAGGCCACTGTTTAAAGTCGGCGTCTCCGTTTCTGATATCTTTTTCTATCTGTGTTCATATAGACGTCAGCTCCTTTTCGACTCATGCTATCGTTTTCCTTACTCTGTTTAGGGTCTGGCCACAACCCCCTCAAAACCTCGCATTAAGATCAAATTCATCAGGTGGGATCGAGCCACCGAACCCCAGACGACCATGAATGCTCTCCAACAACCACTTCCGAATCTAGTGGTCCGACACACTAGCCATTCGAGCCAACCGGGGTTTTCAGACGTTCCGTGCCGCGTATTGTGCGGAGTTGGTCGAGGTTGAGGTTGTTGATTGAATTGGGGTCGGCTATGAACCACATAGTCGGGCCGTGACCAAGTGCTTGGAGGGAGGTGGAAGGGAGTCGAGTCTTGTGAAGCGCAGCCTGAACAGTCCTGATCAGACCATGCGCTAACTCCTTTGAACCTATCGCAGCCTTTGGGTGGGTTAAAAGGTGGAAGATCGCGTCCTATGTGTCTGTGCTGACGCGGTTGGTTGGGGTTTATTTGAAGAGCCCCCGAACAGACATCGATGAGTCGATCGCAGGGATATTGGCAACGACGGCAAAACCAAGTATTGATTACACACATTGTGGCCGGTTTTGGCTGAGAGGCAGACGCGATGGTGATGGGGTCTGGTGTTCGAACGGATACTTGTGGAAACGATGCAAACAATGAGGATGAACAGAAAAATCAGACGACCGGTTTTTTATTTAGCTTGTACTGACATTAATGGACAACCTCTTCAAACCGCGTTGACACCCTTCTTGGTTGGGCTTCGAGTCCTGACTTGAACATAAAGGTAAATTATAATCATGGCCAAAACCTAGATGTCCACGATAATCATCTCGGTGCCTTGGGGGTTGTCAACACGACATCGACACAAAAAGGTATAGCAAGGTGTCCAATGAACTACAACTACCTCGTTCGCCTAGCTGAATAGAAGTTTGGCCTAGTTACCCACTGTCTAATTTAGTTGAGCCCCTCTTGTTCATATCAACTAAACTTCATACACTGTACACTGCTAAGTTAAAAGTTTGCCCTCTCAGCCTGCCAGAAACCTAGGACCTCCATTACGTCCGGCCTTTCATTTGGATCTTCCGCCATGCACCGATCTGTCATACCCACCCACGCCGTGGGTATGTCCTCGGCGCCTTCCCAACTGGTTTTGAGCTGGCTCGGATGCTCAATCTCATCGAAATCCATGTCCGGCTGACGCAAAAGCATCCACATCGCTCGGCCCAGGCTGAACACCTCAGCAAGCTCAAGAGCCAGTGGATGTTCTGCACTCCAGCCAGGAAACACGTTCCAGGTGTTCCATGGATAGTCACCGAGTACGTCTTCCTCAGTATTGCGGCGCGGTGGGCCCTCATACTTGGTGTATTGAAGACGTGGGCGATTCCACCCATTGCCAGCAAGGCTGCCGCCCTCTTCTTCCATCTCAACGTCCCAAGTTCCATCGGCTTCTGGTGCGATGGTCGTTGTTGGCGCATCCGTCTGCTCCCAGTCTCCTAGGACCAGGTTGCCGTCTTGGTCGATCAAGAAGTTGCCAGGTTTGATGTCCATGTGATACGTCTTGGCCTGTCGATGAGTGTGGGCGACCGCCGCGGCCATGTCGGTGCACCACCTGACCTTAGTAGTAAGGGGAATTCGGGCTCTCAGGATGTTGCTCTTCTCTATGCGAGATCCCACATCGCCCCCCTCGTAGAATGGCTGCAGTGTGCCGCAGACCACCCCGTCCTGATTGCCATACGTCACTAGCTTCGATGGAGCTGGAAGCACATTGGGATGCTTGGGCATATTGCGAAGTAGATTATTGGACCTGTGCCAGCCATGTATCATGTGGCGAATGGTTTTGCCGTCTTCATCATCAGTGTACGTTAAGAAGGTACGAAAGTCGATGCCTTTGAACACCATGAAGTTCTCGGAGCTTTTGTCCATGCGACGAATTCGAGTCGCACAGCCTCGCCCACCCAACTGATCGTAGCGGACTATTGAGGCAAACTCAACTTGCTCGTCGTTCGGTAACAGAGGGGTCTTGCCAACTTTCACGGTGTAAGCTACGGTCGACGAAATGCTAGAAAGTGAGGGATGCGAGAGAGACGAAAACGGGAATAGGGAGAAAGACTGGAAATACATACTTTCGTTGTCGCGAAGATATTTAATGTAGCGTTGAAAGAGTGGGTGAGAATAAGCATTCCAGTGCACATCACTGGAAGAGCTTGCATCATCGTGATGATCGACGGCGAAGACAACGTCTGGTTGCGAAGCCCGTTTGTCTGTCGAGCAGGCTGACCATACATCGCGAACCGCGTTCCACAAGGCCTCGCGCATGGCCGCGCTGTCCTTGAATGATTTCGAATCATCATCGACCTCAATTCCATGCATACAAGCGCAGATGCGATTCGCGAGAGAGGTTGAAGGCTTGGATGCGTCAAGAGAGAAACTGAAGATGATGGTGCGATCGTTGCCGTACCCTTGGGCGAAGACAGTCGTTTCGGCGTCATCGCCCCATATCCACTCAGGGTGAAAGTCATTCATGGTGTTAATAGGATCGAGGTGATTGAATTGCAAGCACCTCAGCCTTCTATGAGGAGAATAAGTTGGTAGACGCGGGGAAGAGAGCTGAGTGGGCGAGGTATGAGATGTCGCAGTTGGTGATGTTGGTAGTTCAGCGATCAGTCTCTCCCAGTTCAAAATTTGGCGGGCATAAGCGAATTAAAAGCAAGTGCCGCCCCTGCCTGCTTTGGGTGGTACCTGCCTTCGAGCATCAAGATGTCGCACAAGCATCTCGGCCTTTCACTGAGGCAAACACACAGAAGTAAGACAAATGCATCCACAATCAACGAGCAAACACCTCAGCCATTCACGTGCATCAAAACGTCAGAAGGAGAGAAAGAATGGCGACTGGCATTTCCATCCCTCTCGATCCTTCTTTTCCATCTAGCTATTGTTGATATGAACTCGAAGTGACACAGTCCTTTACTCGATAATCACCAAATATTGGGCTCATATCACGAACCTCGACGAACATCTACTTCCTTGTCGTCTGATGGATGTTGTCGTGCACCTGCTCCGATCTGTACGGGTCGTCACGGGTCGGCGCAGGAACTGTTCTGAGCTTATAGGCAACCTTGTACTTCTTGAAGACGACCGGCTGAGGGCCCGAGGCTGAGCCTGTTGTGGAGTGTCAGCGCATCTGACTTGACATGCATTTCAGAGACAACTTACCATCGGTGCCAAATTGCCATATGACATGGATAAAGCCGTCGTCCTCCCGGGGGTTGACATCCACATCTAGAGTGATAGTCGAGCGGCCGGACTCGATCTCGATGCGTGGGGGCCCATTCACGTTATCATCCTCCAAGACCACAAGCCCGAGGACATCTTCAAGCCCCAATCTAGACAGCGTGGACTTGATCTCCAGAAGAAACGGCCCGTGGCTTGAGTTCGTCAGCTTTGGGATGTCCTCATGCCCATGGGGACTCGAGTATGTAAACTCCCAAGGTGCCAGCCCGGCCTCGACAAACCGCCATGCCGTAGGAACAATGTTCCTAACATCAGCCGAGTTGAGCTTTGTGTCCCACGGCACCGCAGCGTTGCCGAATTGGACAAGCATCTCGGAGGCCGAGATTTCGAAGTGGTTGTGAAGGAGAATGATTCCGAACGTGTTCTCCATCCCGTACTTGATAAAAACCTGTCCAATGTCAGATGTGAGAGCCTCAATCGCTCCAGAAGGCTCGGCATTGCGACCAGCTTCCACAACGCCCGGCAAAGTATCGTAGTACTTGGGTGAGTACGGGAGGAGAGTGAGCGCCATGGTTGTTGCTGTTTTATCTGCTTGCCGTGATGGTATATTGAAATTCGGAAGAACGCGAGAATCTTATCTTGTTGAGATGTTGTTGACGATATGAATGAGATCTCTCTAGTTTTCAACCTTCAGAATGGCGGACTTATATACTTTTGCGTTACCATTTCAGGCTCTAAGGGCAGCATGCCTCCAGAAGTTTGCCAAAAACATCAGGAAGCTGTACTACCGAAAAGTGGTCGACAAACAGAGGGGAAGAGGGTAGCACGACACGAACCATCCCTCTAAGTTACACCACATCGCCCAAAACGTCCCTCCTTTGCCGAGAAATGGGTCTCCGCCTAGATTCATACCGTAATAGAAAGAAGAACAATGCAAAAGCCCGCGGCAATTGTTCGTGGCAACACAATGCACAGTGTGGTCAGCGCAGCAGACCTATGTAATATGGAAGTAGGCGGTTTGTCTCAATCACGCATGGATACGCAGTGAAAGTAATCAGAAGACGGCAGTTGATCCTCCACATCAAGTAATCTCTGTATGGGTAGATCGTACTAGACTCACCATAATGACTGAAAAGGAGGTAGACCGTTTTATAAGGTAGTATCAGGAAGGAAGCAAGTAATCAAACCATGCGTTATAATTACGCTAAAAATAACAACAACTTTCTTTCAATTAGGGTTTACAGTGAATGGGAAATTTCTTCGTTTGGATGTATGGCCAAAGTGAGGTGAATAAGTAGTTGCCTTTTGAGGAGGAAGAAGCGGAATTTCAGCTAGGCAATCCTTTGCCGGGCTCAATAAACAATCTTTATACATACTTTCCATGCCCCGATAGAGCACAAGAAAGATCCTCATCATACGCTGTCCCATCTTAGAGGAGTCCTAGACACCATTTTCAGAAACGAAAGTCACGAGAACGAGAAAACTTGATCACAGCCTTCCATCTGCTTTTATCATATGAGCACGAAATCTTGCAGTTGTTGTGTTCATCAAATAATACAGATCCTTCTTATAGGGCCTTGCAAGAGAGCCAGTATCCCGTTTAAGTGTGTTGCATGATAATCAGGCTGTTGTTTTGGGAGGGCTGACGTCAGTCATGCATGACGATGGATGGCCACTCGCTGCGATGAGCCGCATCTAGGCACCCAGAATGTGCCTTGGCGGCTGGGTCATTTAATGAACGGAAGTGAGAACCTGTCAAACCGTGGAAATGAATGTCATCTTCACTCCTTGATTCACAGTCTAAGGGCGATGGCTGTTTCGCAGATATCAGACGAGGTCCAGCTCCGGGTGCAGGAGTGGATGCAAGCTACCTCATATTCTGCAGTCTCACTTACGTCGCTTACAGGAGGTCAAACCAACTTCACCTACCTCGCAAAGCTGAGGCAAGCATTTGACGACAAAGATGGAAACAGGGCGATGGAAGTTATGGTCAAACATGGAGAGCCATACATGGCCCGGCATCCCGTCAACTCCATCACGATCGAGCGTTGTGTAAGGCGATCTTTGCTATCTAGCATCTTAGCTAACACTTGATAGAACGTGGAGGCGGCTTGTCTAAAAGAGCTCGAGGCGATGTCTCTCCGCCTGCGTAGCCAGGAGAGCTCCAGTATCACCGTCAAAAGCCCAAAATACTACGTCTACGACGAGGAAATGAAGACGCAGATTCAAGAGTATCTGCCGAATGTGGTACACTTGAAGAAACACCTTCTCAAGTTCCCTCCATCAGACACGCCCATGGATCTGCGTCCGCAATACCAGAACATTGGTAGCGCCATGGCTAAATACATTTCCAAATTCCATGAGCTCACGAACAGCATCTTGGAAAGCGAAGGGCAGGATGGGACAGGCTCATCACTAAAGGAGGCCCTTTACAAAGACAACCAGATGCAGAAGTTGAAGCACATGATCAACTACGATTGGCTGCTCGAAAGAGTCGCCCAGTTCCCCTCGATCCTGGGCCACATGCGAGGCATATTTGAGGAAGTAAAGGGGCAGGCCTTAGAGGAGACACGCGGGGGTAATAAGACCTTGACGGTTATACATGGGAACTTCTGTCCACAGAAGTGGGTTAACGCCGATTCCTACTACCTCAAACTTTTAGAATAACACTAGAACAGTGTCCTGATTCGTGACACACCACTCACGGCCAACCTTGATACGTCTATATATGTGGTAGACTGGGAGAACGCCCAACTTGAAGTTCCAAGCATGGATCACGGGGAGATGCTGGGAGAGCTATACGCAATCTGGCTGTGTCAGGGGTCAGCAGCAAGCTTGTGGATTGCGGAGGGCTACTGCAGGGGACTAGATGACCTGTCGGAGAGCTCAGCTCTCCGAATCGCCCTCCAGCTGGGGGTCCATCTCATCAGTTTTGGCACCATTTCGCGAGAAATGGAGACTCTTGAACAAACCCGAGATGTTGCTCGGATCGGTAGTGAGTTTATTGTCAATGCTTGGGGTAAGAAGAAGGCGTGGTTCGAGCAGAGCGAACTATCCTTTTTATTCCCGACGGTTTCTGGGGAGTGAGATTCGCGAGTACAAGAACTTTCAACTTAGTAGCAAGGATATGGTAGTCAGTCAGAAAACACCACGAGACCCTTACTATCTCAAACACGCCCCGGATGGTCATCTCTCTGCATCTTCTGTAGTCCAGATGCTGCCCTATTGATGAGTAATTGCCCGAAAGTTAAATCGAGAAGTAGTTCTATCCCTGTCGTTAAGAAAGGCCAACACAAAACTCGAGGCTCACGATGGCTTCAAATCAAGTAGGAGGGCGGTCTAGAGTCTAAAAAGGAAGACTTGCGAGCAAACACATACAACACCGGGCATTCGCCAGTCGTCACCGACCTGACTACTACTCCAGCCCTCATTGGCTTATCTATGGGAGAGCGGACGGGATCCCGAGTTTTCCAATGGGTATGGTCGTATGTGAAGGTATCGTGAAGTGAATTTGCCTATAACCTCAGAGCTGTAGTCGGGCTTGAGGAAGTGGCCGCATATTTGGCCGCTTGTTTCTCCCAGTCGTGAGCTATGACAGACCTGGTAATGTTCTTTGTTTCGAAGTTGCTCCTTGACAAAAAAGCCTTGTGGCTTTTTAATGTTACATTCCATGTGAACGCGAAGAGTTGATTCAGAAGTTGAGGAAGTCGACGTTGCGCGTTGCAGAGTTGGCGTCTCATGATTGGCAATAGTTTCACGCCATTGGCCAACCAAGCCTCCCCAAAATCTGGTGCAAGTGCAGTGCAGCAACCGGGGGACCGAGGCACAGCGCATGCGACCTGAGGCGAACCCTGAACCGGCCCCCAGTGCAGAAAAAGGGGTATTGTCGATCACCCCCGCCAATTGGGACGCTCTAGAAGGCCAGAAATGCCCCGAATTTGCGGGCGGTGCAACTGGCAGGTTGCGCATTACGGGGGTCCCACGTAGCTTGTCTGAGCTTAGCTTAGCAGCCCTTCCAATGTCTCCAGCAGCTTGCTTCAAAAATAACCGTCCTGTCAATTGGACACATGGGACGGAAATGCGATCCACGGACACGAGACATCCCACGACGCCCCATTTCGACCACCATCTGACCGGGAGAAACCAACTCACTTCTTCCAACAACACCAGTCCTGGGGACTCTCCGTTATTCGATTGACAATGATCTAGAACCGTCACCTGCTGTCCTTTCTCCCCTCGCTCCCCACACGCTTCGAAGCTCCAAGCAGAGCAGCTGCCAGCAGCAGCAGCAGCAGAAAGCCCGCCCGCCATGGGTGGCCCGCTCACGTTCCTGAAGAGCATCTACGATCTCGACAACCTCGATACGCGCTTCACGAACTCCTCCTCCGTTCCATACAAGACCGTGATCGAGTCACGCAATGATCCGGCGCAGAGCAAAGAGTCAGCCAGCAAAGCCCAGAGCCGCGCGCAGCCGTCAAAATGGAGGCAACCCGAGTTTATCGTCTACCTCGCCTATATCGCAGGGGTGATACCGTATATGTTCTGGGTGGCCTGGGGAGTGTCGAGGCGTGAGTGGCTCATGGAGAGTCCTGAGCTCGTAGCTATGCTAACGATATGTCACTGCAGCTTCCGACCCCCGATACCACAACTACGAGCGCTTCCTATCTGACGGCTGGATCCCGGGGCGTAAAATCGTAGGCCGCCCTCGACACCCCTCTACAAAGTGAAGCCTCCAGTAACACAGGTCTCTTAGGATGTTTCCGACTCGCAATATCATACCTTCCGCCAGAACCTTCCTTACATGGCCCTGCTCCTGACCTTCCACCCACTCCTCCGAAAGCTTTGGAACATCGTCTTTCCGATCCCGTCAGACCTGCACAAGAAGTCGGTAACAGAACAAGGCGACGCCCGCCTCGAGCAGCGCGCTTCCTTTGACTACCGGTTCGCCATTGTGTTCCTCATCGCACTGCACGGCTTCTCTGCGTTCAAGGTCCTTGCAATCCTCTACATCAACTACCAGCTTGCCACGCGGCTTCCGCGAAGATACATTCCCGCTGCGACATGGACCTTCAACGTCTGCATGCTCTTCGCGAACGAGCTGAGCCAGGGATACAAGTTCGCCAACATTGCGCGGCACATCACACCACCCTCTGCGCACAAGGACCTACTAGAGGAAGACCCCTTCCTGGTGCGATGGGGTGTCTGGCTCGATTCGTACGGAGGGTTGATGGGCCGCTGGGAGATTCTCTTCAACATCACTGTTCTACGGCTCATCAGTTTCAACCTGGATTACTATTTTAGCCTGGACCATCGTGGCGGAAGCGCTCTCGAGGTAAGACTCTGTCCACCGCCCCAAACACTTTGTTCAGCACTGAGATCCTTAAGAAGAAGCAACTTGACCCCGCCAATCTCTCCGAACGTGACCGCCTGGCCATTTCCGCCGCTCCCAAGGACTACTGCTTCCGTAATTACCTCGCCTACGCGATCTATGCGCCGCTGTATCTTGTTGGGCCCATCATGACCTTCAACGACTTCATCCACCAGCTCCGACACCCGCCTGCCTCTGTCGAGACAGGCCGCACCATTCGCTACGCAGTCCGCTTTGCTCTCTGCCTGCTCGCAATGGAAATCGTGCTCCATTACGACTATGTATGCGCCATCTCGCACGCGGGACCCAATTGGTCATCCTACACGCCCTCTCAGCTTTCCCTGCTCTCCTACTTTAACCTCCACATCATCTGGCTCAAACTACTACTCCCATGGCGCCTGTTCCGTCTATGGGCCCTCCTCGACGGCGTCGACGCGCCGGAGAACATGCTCCGCTGCGTCTCCAACAACTGGTCTCCGAAATCTTTCTGGAAGGCCTGGCATCGCTCTTACAACCGTTGGCTGATCCGCTACATATATATACCCCTGGGCGGTGCAAACTTCCGCTCCTGGGCCACGACCGCCCGCTCAATCGCCACGTACCTCCTCGTCTTCACGTTTGTAGCACTGTGGCATGACATCCGCTTGCGCCTGCTGATCTGGGGCTGGCTCATCGTCCTGTTCCTCCTACCAGAGGTGCTCGCGGGAATGCTGTTCCCCGCGAGGAAGTGGGAGAACAGACCGAACCAGTACCGCTGGCTGTGTGGCATCGGCGCCGTTGCTAACGTGCTCATGATGATGACGGCCAACCTTGTCGGTTTCGCTGTCGGTTTAGATGGCCTGCAGAGCATTCTGCACGGTATCTTGCATGACTGGTCAGGTACGCTGCCCCAAAAGAACTCGCGCTCACCCTTTCGAGAATATCATGCTAACACATTGCGTAGGCGTCATGTTTTTTGTAGGGGCATGTACCGCGCTCTTTATCGGCGTCCAAGTCATGTTCGAGATACGCGAGTCTGAGATGAGAAGAGGCATCTCGTTGAAGTGCTAAAACAAAAGAGAGCCCGATCATAGAAAGCCAGTTTTTTACGTCTTAAAATTACCTGTATTACCACACTAGACAGCTGACGCTGTTGTACACTACTACTACTTCTATATCTGTCCTGTTCGTGCCTAGGTATAGATGGTGACAGGGACACCGATACCGTCCCTCGGGGTATAATGATCAATGCAGCCGCTCCCACCCGAATGCCCGACTCCTTGCAAGTCTTCTTTTTATGAACGTGACCGGAAGCGCCGACCGTGTACTCGGCGCGGACAAATGGAAAATGTACAGACACACATGGACACATACACAAGCCGTGCATATCTAGTGCTTGCTGTTGATGGTGCCCAGCTCGGTGTCGTAGTTGCGGAAACGCTGCTGGGCAAACTTGCCGTCCATGCCCAGCTTGCGCTCCGTCACCCACTCCCTGAGCCAGATGAGGCCCTTGACGATGAGGTAGAAGACGATACCGGCGACGGCGATGCCGATGATGTACGCCGCCGTCTTGCCGCTGCCGTTCTTCTGGATGTCGAGGAAGTCGTACGTGTAGAAGCCCTGCGTGGCGTGGGTGACGTAGGCGAGGGCCAGGTACAGGGCGAGGACGATGATGAGCCAGAGCATGTGCACCCACTCGAGCTGGGCGGCGCTGGTGCGGGGGATGATGATCTCGAACAGGGCGAAGCCCGAGTTCATTGCGTGCTGGGAGACGTTACTCCATGCGTTGAATTCCTCCTCGTACCAAGGGCCCGAGTAGATAATCGCCCAGTACACAATCGTGACGATGAACGGGTAGGTGGTGATGGTCGTGTAGTAGAAGGCGTGGAGGGCCTGCAGAGGGCGCGGGAAGCGGTCGAGGAGAGGGGAGCCCGAGTGCGCGTAGGTGAAGGTGTGGATGGCGGAGACGAGGAAGTAGAAGGCTAGACCCCAGTAGGTGAGGACGGTGAAGTATGAGAAGCTCTGGCCGACAATCGTGCAGCCGCCATCCTCAGCGTGGGTGCATGTCCAACCGATGATGAAGAAGCGGGTGACGAAGATGTAGAGACTCTGTGGGGGGCCATCGTTAGCTTCCAATTGAGAAAGGCGCAGAGCGGGGTTAGAACCAGGGAACGTGGTACAAATCCGGGAGGATAGAGACAATAAAATGAAGAGTCGTCTCGGGGATGCGAGGATAGGAGAAAAGTAAACACTCACAATCAGCGCGCGACAAGCAGCCAACAGGTAGGGAGGCAGAAGCCACGAGGTCTCGAAGCGGTAGGATGGATCCCAGAGATCGTTCCCGAAGCGGAAGGCAGCGAACATCTTCATCTGCCCTGGAGGGAGGGGTTTTACACCGCTTGACGAGGTGTAAAAACCGTTATTTTCGCTTGTTGACGATGTTCAGGTTTTGGAGTTGAGCCCTGGGAGTGGGAAGATCGAGACCCAAGAGGTTTTTGAACGTGGTGGGCCTTGGCTCTCGGCGCGGGTCGTAAGGTCGCAAGGGTGTGCCTCCGTCGCCAGGAAAAGCGCAATCACGTCGCTGCCGGGGTGACCTGGCAGCCCGGGGCTTGCTGTTGACAGTACCGCGGTAGATGGGTTCGGTGTCGTGTGCAACTTGGCGTTTATGAATGCCTGTGTATTTTGTGTATTCGTGTCCTAATAGAAAACACTGACTGCAGAAGGATAGCGACAGCGGCGGAATGAATGCGAATGGGAAAAAGACATCTACGATATGTCGATGTTGAGGAGGAGCATTCCAAAGACGTCTCTCACACCTTCAGAGTGACCCGGAATGCAGTGCCGAGCTGACGATGGTAGTGTTCTATTTCAGCAAGCACGTCGGGACGCGATTAAGACACGGCCCCGGCGTTGTGGCTGATGCCGACGGGAAGTGGCCGTTTTTTACTGCCTGCTTCCTCTTTCGATAATCGGGGCCAGGGTCCTGGTCCCGAAAGAGGGTCTTGACCGTTGCCGCAGCTTGGTGGCCGGAGATGATGTGGGGAGCGAACGGTTCAGTACACATTTAGATTTAGAGCCCGATGTTAAGTGCGTGGTTGCTGAAAAGGGATGGAGCTACTTTTCAATCTTCCATCCATCGAGAGTAGGCTTTCTGATGCCATAACCGACCACATCTCTTCATGATGATGGCCTAGTAGCATCTCCCAGCTGCAACCAGAGGATAGCCTCAGCCTTGGGAACTAGTCCGACTCCCAAGTGCCCAAGTTTAAAGCCGGCTGCGCATCGCTGACGCCGGTCAGCACCGGGGATGTGGCTGCACGTGGCATTACTGAACTGGACCGCGATGAGGAACGTCTGATATCAGCGAACCATGAGTGGGCGCCGTGACGCCCAATGGCTTTGATAGGCAAGGACAACAGGCAGCCGGCCAGCCAGCAGCAGCCACAGTGATGGCGTGTCCAATGTGTCGGGGCTGAGAACCATCAGGTTGCGGCTTGGACTAGACGCGCCGTCTGTCTCCCGCTGACCAGCGTGATCTTGAAATGCGAAGCCCTCATCGACGGGCTTGGAAAGCGTTCCTGTTGCGGGGTGAGGCTGATGCAGTCTTCGTGCAGGAGGCAGAAAAAGGGACGCATCTTGGGTAAGCAGATTGCAGATCGATCCCCAGATGAACGGTCCGTCGATCAGAAAAGCGCTGCTCGGCCCAGCCCAGGGCGAGAGTGCCACAGGGGAACCACTTGTATGACGGGATCGAAAACCAGGACAGCCCTGGCACCTCTCCGTACGCGAGCCAGCCGCGCTTGTCGTGAAGAGACTGCTGAATCGTGGGCGTCCGTCATTTCCGCGCTTGCGTTGGGGGGGACGGAGAAGCGCGATGCATTTGCATCCGCCACTCTCCGACCCTTGGAAGAGAGCCACCACAAGCCGACATGGACTGCGAACAGCGGGCGGGTTGCTGCGCGAAGGGTAGCCGCGGGCCGAGGGCAGAGACCACTCAGTGCAGACGACGACTGCTGCCACTGGGGCCACTTGATGTGGCCATCGTGCAATCAATAACGTCCTTGGCGACGGTAAAGCGGAATCACCATCGTGCTAGGACTCCTTGGATAGACGTGGATAGACAACAGATAGTTCCACGGCTAGTTCCATGGTCCACCTGCAACGGGGCCTGCTGCAGAATGTGGCCCGTTGCGATTTCTCATGCTCGTCATCTTGCCTTGCCATGTTCTGTCTGTTCCCGTTGTGCAGAGCCCCCCTTCCAGAACTCCAGAAGTCTCGTGTGAATGATGATGTCGTATCCTAGATCTTCAGAGGTGGGCTAAAAATCAATATTTTGCCAGCCCAATATCAACCATTGCTCATTGCAGCCGTGTGGGCAACCCAATTGGTCGCGTCAATCTGACTTGTCCGGGTCATCGGGTCAGACAAAATCGTCAGCGGGCCTCTTTGGGTCATTTATTGATTTTAAGAGAGGTTGTGACAGTCGCTTCCATCAGCCTCCAGGTCCTGGGCGTCCTCCAGCAACGCCGGCCGGATGCAACGGGCGATGTGGTGTCAAGGCTGAAGAACCATGTAAGAATAGCTTGGCCTGCCTCAAATGGAGCCATGCTGGTTGCTTCGCTGGCTATCACCGGCGGACTTCAATGAATCTCGTCATCGTAATTAGCACTGGTGTTGTCGTTGCCCGCACAGACTCGATCAAGGCCAAAGTCAAAGGCGTTGGTCGGAACGAACCAGATGAGGCTCCCTCGTTCATCTCATCTTTTCTGCTCCTTCGTCCCTCCTCATCTCCCCTGTTGCAGCCACGTCAAGGATATCGTAACCAAATTTTGAAAAGCGGTCAACGGCTGGGGAAATAACAAGCCAGGGCCCAAATAGGCCATTGCCAATGCCAACGTGGGCCTAGATATCTAATTTGATCAATTCATCGAGAAGGCATCCAGGGGGCGGCCATGGGGCAGACAGCGGGCTCCGTGGACGGGAGACAAGCCGATCGATCGGGTCAATGAGCCTATGTCCGGAGATGGAAATAAGCCCAGAGGGGAAGGGGGCCGGTCAGGCGTGGATGCGACCTCGTACAGCAACGGCCAAGTCCAGGAGACGGTGAGCATCATCGTTGTTGAGCGACACAGTCGGCGGTTTGAGACTCAGGAGTAGCTCGCAGTTTCGACGGCGGCGGCGGCGACGGCGACGGGCCGTGCGGTCGGAGACAGGGCATGTCAGCAGCTGCCAATCGAATGGCAGCAGGGCACAGATGGAAGATGGAAGTGCTGTGCTCAGGTGCTGTGTTGTGCGCTGTGCTGTGCTGCCCAGGCTGTGCTGAATGGTCGAACAGTCAAGTGTGTGGCACAAGCCGCTCCGTGACTCGTGCCGGTGTTGGCGGGCGATAGACCGCGACGGACGTGCCACCGATGGCGAATAAGATTTGGAGGGGGCATTGGTGATGATCACCGTGAGACCGAGGCCTTCAGAGGCCATGTCGACTGCTTTGTTGTCTGCCTACCTACCTATCTGAGTAAAGACAAAGGGCGGCAGGATGTATGGATGCAAGGCACTACCACACAAGGTATCTTGCGGTGAGCGATGTATGCCTCTGGTGCTGCATAGGTCGGCCGCTGACGACGTCCACCTCAGTGCTATTGGATCTGTGTCAGCAAGCCAGGAGGTTCGGGCTGTTGGCCCGGGCTCCAGAGCAGAAACAGGCGGCGAAGCAGCGGGCAAACAACAAACAACCTACGACAGTGCTCCCCCAGACCCTGTCGGCGCGGTGCGGGCGGGAAGGGCACGTTTGGCAGGAATACCGTTGGCACCTTTGAAGATGGGGGGTTGCATGTTGCATGTCGCAGTGCCATTCTCATCTCGTGTCGGCGGCCCCAATGGAACGTATAACGGGGATTCCATTAAAGAGTCTTTCGTAGGTTATTGCGCCTCGGTGCACCCCTCCTTGGCTTCGTCGGCTACCATCGACAAGGCATGGGAACCATTCTTCGCGCTCTTGCAGACGGGTGTGGTAACGTGAAGACGAATAAGCGATGGCGCGCGACCAAAGTATCTGCACTTTTGGGTGCGAA